CACACACACACACACACACATTAAAGGCATCTCTGAATTAAACCACTTGCCAAATGCTTTGCGACCGGACAAACGCACGACTCGACTAAACGTCAAGGCCGCTCGCCTCCGCAGAGCCGAGCGGCCGCGGCAGGTGACACGTCGCTGTGGATAATAAAAGGAGTTGATGTGGAAAGAGGAGGAGAACATTCAGAGAACAATGGAGTGGAAGAGGAAGGGATAAGAGAGCGGACATCCTACCACTCAGGCCTCCGAGCAGCTGTTGGTCAGCGTCACACACGGACCGGCGAAGTAGCAGCATGTGCAAATAAAGTCATTAAATATGATTCATGCTGTAAACAAGCTTCTGCAAACGTACTGAATACGACAAGAGTACTCGAGAGCACAGAAATATAAGTACAACACAGTCAATGGACTTATTCTACAGTAACTACTGTTGGTACGTAGTAAAAGTAAAAGTTCTCATTATGCAGAATGGACCCTTTCATAAGCTTTTATGTTGTATTATTTAATTATTATTATATATTCATTCATTTTGAAGTTAGCTCGTCACACTAACTTCAACTACATTCTGTGATGATGAAATGCTTTTTACAGCAAAACATCTAATTAATAAGTTAAAAGTCCATTTTAAGTTGTTTAATGATAAGAGGAAGACAGATCATTGTTAATAAATACAGTAATCGTTACTCTACAAACAAAACAACAACAACAACAACAACATGTCATTCTGTAAGATGTGTGGAGCGACGTGGAGCCATTTTGTTCTGAACTGGTCACATGACCAGAGTGTTCTCCTCTCACTCTGTTTCTGTGGTGGAGCTGAAGTGAAGTAAAGAGATCAGCTGTTTAGTGGAGTTAGTAAAGACTCGTTTAGTTCAGTTACTAGTTAACTTTCTATTCTTCCATTTATTAAATATATTTAATATTCATTTCATCTTCACAGAACGCTTCGTGATGTAAAAGTATCTCAGCAGTGAGCCGACGGAGCTGGAGGCATCTTCTATCTGTAAACACTCAGGAGGAGGAAACATCTGGCCCTCTGAGGACACACACACACACACACACACACACACACACACACACACACACACACTATTGTTTCAATCACTCTGCTGGCAGCGACTTCAGTCCTGACTGATGAAGACGAGGTGTTTTCATGACCCACTCACCTGCAGCACTAAGCAACGTCATGACTTCATTCTCCCTCACGTGCATGTGTACATGCATATGTGTGTGTGTGTGTGCACGCCAATGATATAATGAGATTTCCAGACGGAGACCCTGATTGTGTTTTTTTCCTGCAGGAATGTTGTTTGTCAGCATGTTGATCAACACCTGCTGCCTCTGCGCTTTATTCTGAAAATCCTGAATTCATGTCATCTAATAATCGAATACGTTACCAATAAAACATATTGATCTGTTTCTCTCCAGTTTGCTCATAGTTTTTATTAAAGAATTCATTCTTTTCCTCCAACCTCGATTGTGTTTATCTGCAATGAGTCAGCCCCCCCCCCCCCCCATGAATACCAGAGGTCTGATTCAGCTTCTGTCTAAATAAGGAAGATGAACTTCATGACTAGAGCTGAAGGATTGAGAGGAAATACAGAAGGTGTGGTCCAGCTTTCATCGACACGCATCACTTTCTCTGCAGTAAACACACACACACACACACACACACACACACACACACACA